CCTTTACCAACATAAGGGTTAGTAGAATATAGTAGAAATTGATATGTTATGCACTAGCATCAATAAAGGCTATTACACTATTAACTCAACTGGCCTTCTGCACAGTCTTACTTTAAAAGGCAGTAAATGCATTGTTGATGCAGAAATCATAGGTGTTAATGTCCCAGACAACGGAGTTTCTGTAGATGATGTTGAAGGCAGCCTTGATGAGCTTGGGCCAGTGATAAGCTGCAGTCTGGGACAGACTAGGAAACAACTATTTTTTATCGATCTTGTTGCTCAGCGTACGTCTCGGAGTTGACTTGAGTCCCAAATTGTCAGTTAGGGAGTTATCTGCCAAAGGACCAGTTGAAATCTATCAGATTGCTCTGGGTGATTCTGAAATCTTGACTAAGAAAAGTTCGCAGAGCCCGTTTCCTTGCTAGGATCTATCTAATCCTATGCAAAAGACCCAAAGGGAATGTAAACTAAATTGGCGCGCACTGGAGACTCGATATCGACTTCTCCTAAATAATGGATACCCCTATCTCTGTTAGTATCAACGACTGACATCATTGGAACATAGTTTCGGAATTTGCTGGAGGATCGAGGGTGCCAAGGGACGGTTAAATGGGGGAAACCAACTTAATAGATTAAGGTCTGGACCTGTGATCAACGGCGACTCTAAAACACTGACGAGGAACTGGACGTCTGAACACTAGATTTGCGCCAGGAGAGTTGGGACAACCACCGCTGAGGTCATATGCATAAGATACGAGTTATGGGTGTCATTCGAGAGCTGGGAGGCCGAGCTATCAACTTATCCTACTCAAGATCGAGGAATTCTTCACAAGCAAAACTAGATGGTCGCGAATATAGAAGATTTACACAGGTCATTGACACCAATACACACGATACCAGTCATCTGGACCTAGATCTTCGACTCTGGGCCGTATGGCAAAGCGATACCAATATAATTATGCTCATGATCTACCTGATTTTATCATTTTTGTTTTAGTATTTATATCACTGTCTTTGAAATAGTATCATCGTGTCGAAGGATTTATCGGTTGAGGGTTTCAGTTGCTGAATACAAGAGTTCCGGTTGCTGCATATTGGGTTTCAGTGGAGTTGACAATGACTCCTCGTCATGGCCACCCAGTCTCTGTAGTCACTCCTCTGTCTGTCGATATCAAAGTAAGTCACGACTGAATGCAATCTTCTCGGCAATTTCGGCAGCTGTTCCTGCCAAAACCTGTCCGGTCTTGATTGGTGCACAGATTTTGCCAGCAATCTGAGCTGTTCCCCGTGGAAATGCCGTGTCAGCGCAAAGGTACCAGCCATCCAGTGTCATGTCTAACAGCTTTTTGTAGATTGGCTTCGCAACACGTAAGTCATACCAGCTTCCAGGCTTATTAAGAGAAGCAGCAATAGTTGTTCCTGGGTTTAGTTAGGTATGATAACCAAGTCAATGCATTGCTCACACACCTTGGGGAGAAAAGACAAGCACAGAACTACTGACCTATTTCATTCAATTAGGCGGGTCATGGTCACATCGGGATTTTTTGGCCGAAAGATTTCGGCGGGTCACAGGTCACAGCCAAATCTTTTGGTCCCAAACTGTCCCAATCGGGAAGATTTTCAAATTTTCGGCACCTGCGGCACGCCGAAATTCCTAATCGGGTAGTAGGTCACGCGAAATTCGGCCTGTGGCCAAATTGGACATTTCGGCCAAACGGTCACGGGTCACAGGCCCGCTGAATTGATCAAAATGGGTCAGTAATACAGTGTTTGCAAAGCCAGCCATTGTAGGTATCATTCTCAACCTCCGGATCTCCAGATGTCTGCAAGGGAAGATTAAGTCCATCAATAGCAGCAAAGGCACCTGTTAGTCGTGGATGACATTCAGTAATCGGATTGTTGTGGTGTTGGAACTCTTCATCAGTTCTTGGCTACTGGATTTGTGATTCGGGGATGAAGCAAAAAACTCCAAGGAGAATTTTCAGGGCAAATTAAAGATATGAAGAGATGGTGGTTGGAATGAGTATGTTAAGTACCATGCAAGAACTGAATGTAAGTAACGGAAAGTCCAAAGCAAAACCCAGTGGCTATTACAATACTATATTGGAGTGAGCGACTACACGTCTTGCAGGCCAAACGCAAGTCTGAACAAATACGTTCGGAGAAGCCAAGGGTGGTAAAGGCTTAGAATGCAGAGGGAGTCAGATGAGAGCAGAGAGCGAGGCAAGAAATGTTAATAATGAAACTGAAGTACAGGAGTCTCTATGGGGGCTCAGCAGGTGCTTTTATAACCTATGCAACCACCTATCTTAGGTAGTAACCCCACCTAGGATAGGTTATATTTCAACCTAGTTAGGTTGCTTTGTAGGGTGAGAAATCAACCTAAACTAAGGGTGGAAAACTTACCTAAATCGGCCGAATCTAACCTAAGCCCTACATAGGGAGGAATAGGTTGTTTCTTAGGTTGATTTCAAATATTATAAAGGAAAAGAAAGTATCGAGTTACAACCATATAGTACTCCATTACTTGCTCTAATAGAGAACATTAGACATTCTGAACTCAAAGAACAGGTAACATTTTTATACTTAAATATTTAATAAATGTGCATATAGGGGGTTTGAACCAGCCACAATAGCATTTTATCTAAACTACTTTATAACCACTAGACTAAGAGATAGTAGTCAAAACTATAGCTCTGATATTGATATTGAGACCAAACATTATAACTTGACATAAGGCCTCTGTCATTGAGGAGTTACTTTGGGACTACAATATATAGATTTGGTGCTTACAGTATGATAAGCTCTGTAATAAAGTGTGTATCAATATTCACTGACATTATGCTCTGGATAGGTTGAAATTTGATCTAACAGGTTGTTTTTGCATTAATGTGCTAAACCTCTACATGGGGAAAACAACCTACTCAGTAGGTAGAAAAAGACTTGGTATGAAATTCAACAAAATGGTGTCTATGCTTGTATAATCTATTCAACCTATCTAGGTTGTAAGTAACTTATCATAATTTTTTTTTTCAAAAACCACCTATCTGTTAGGTTGAAAAAATAAATGATTTAAAGCTTACAGAAATGTTGTCTTTACCAGTCACCTAAGAGCCACCTAAATTAGGTTGAAGTGGGAAATACCTCCTAAAGGGGGTGGTATTCCAACCTAGATTAGCCCCATAGTGAGTGGAGAGTACGAGTATTTATACTAAGTGGTAAGCATAAGGCATATGACCTCCCAGGGAGATCCGATGAGGTCCACAGGATCTGCCTGCGGTGTGGAAGTACTGGCTTGTGCAGTGTTCGCCAGAAGAACGGTCAATATGTCCGGGATTGGGGGAGCACGAATGAAATGATTTCGGAGGGAAAAGAGTGGAAGAATTCTTGAAAGCGTGAAAGCAAAAGTGAAGGTGAAATTGCAGAAACTTGTTCCAGTCGTGAAGCTCGGGGACTCGAAAGGCGCAAGAATCTGGTGGTTGGGGGCTCGATGTTCACTAGCAACCTGCCCTCGGTGGAGCAATCTCGGCACTGGTTGCGAACTCGGTGGTGGTTGGGGTGTGAGGAGTTCTATTAAATGATGATGTAGACTACAAACAAATAGCCACATCAAATATTGATGATGGGCGTCCTAAAGCGGAAACTGCCTCATAAGGAAAAGCTACGTAAGGGACATTCCACACTTCCACAGCGGGATAAGTACAAAGGCATAGTAAGTAAGGGGAACGAGAAGACATACACGAGGCAAAGGAAACAAGGTGAACGCCTAAAGAATATAAGTAAACAAACGCAAGTCCAAATGGGTAAAGATCCGAGTTGATGGTTGGAGGGTCCGTATAGGTCCGAGGGAGTCTGCGTGCAGATTAACTGTAAAAACCCTGTTGCACTCCAAGGATAACCTTGGAGCGTCCAAAGATGCACGGGATATAACAGAGTGCGAAGATTTGCTGGAGGGAAATTTCACACATTGTCGAATTGAGGTAGTGGAGAATGAGACCCAATACCCCAACTGCAGGGAGCCTGCACCCAGCCGCAAGCGTCCACTTCTTGACACATTGTCCTGCGGTATTGGTGTTGCGTACCAAGCCCTGTCAAATCCCGACTTGATGATGTAGTCAAATGTTGCAGTGTTGAAGCGCATTGTGGTGATGAATGTGCGGTTATCATGGCTGGCATAAAGTGCCTGCCATGGGGTGTCCATCTGTAGGTTGAGAAGCAGTTGGGGTCGACACAGATATAGTTGTTGCGTTGCTGAGCTTAGATACCCGAGCCTCTCTGACATCACTTGATGTACATCAAAAACCCCTCAGTGCCCACCCCCATAAGCTGATGAGCCTCCATAAACCCTAGTATAGTAGTAAGAGAACTGCAGTGGCTGCCCCCCAAAGGTTCATCTTGTCATTGTCATCATCATCCTCCATCTGTTGATAAATTTCAGGTGGGAGCAGAAATGCAGCCATGAGGGTGCGGAGAGAAGTGTTGACGTGTTGTTTGGATGATCTCAATCATACTCTTCTTATGGGAAGTACACTTTGTCAAAATTTCCACTCAAAAAATTGACAGGTTCAAGTTGGCACCGCTCGAGAATTCTATTTACCCTTACGGGAAGTTGCCCAATGCATAATATCATGCAAAACATGCATTGAGTACGTATTCAGCGCTGGCGCGGCGGCGCCTGAGCTAAATTAAATTGATGGCATAACAGGCACGTGGTCGGAGGGTGGTCCGTGCGCGCGGGCGGCTGCGGATACGGCTTTCTGCTCTCCCTCATCTCGCACATCCCATGAGCTCGGTGCGCACCGTCAAGGCTTCAGAAGACAGATGGCGCAAACACAGCGGCTGCATCGGTGACTCGATAGATCGCTCAAGCACAGCGGACCGGTGCGTCGTGCGGAAAAGAGCCAAATAAGAGTTCATGCGAATCGTCACTAGCAATTTCTACAGTACTTGTTCAGCGTGCACCACCTCCCCCCTCGAAGTTCATTCATTCATTCGACCGCTCACGCATGGACCGCGCCGGCCTGGACGGTGCCGCCCGTCGTCGTCGCGGGGGGCACGTACTCGCTGCCGGCGTACGGGTTGTACGACTGGGGCACGCTCTCGGCCTTCTCGTGCGCGCCGGCGGGCTGCGGCGGCGGGAGGTCCGCGAGCCCGGCGACGCTCGTCGTCCACACGCCGGGCTGCTTGCGCGACGTGGCCTGGATCGCGAACACGAGCAGCATGATGCCGTAGCCCATCACTGCCGGCGATCAGTCCGCGCCCAACGGAGAGGAGGAAAGGGAACGCACGCAGGGCCCAGTTGAGGAAGCCGACGGCGGCGATGCCGCGCGTCTCGCCGCAGATGTTCTTGAACGTGTTGTCGCCGTCGAAGGAGGAGGAGCAGTACGCGGTGTACCCGAACGCGTCGAGCGCCTGCAGCACGTTCGCGGACTCGCCGCCCGTCGCGAGCCACAGGATCGACAGCACCAGCAGCACCGGGATCTCGACGGCCAGCCACGACGTCGGCCCGCCGGGCCGGATGCGCTCGAGCACGAGCCTGCGGAGGGTCAGTGGGGGGAAGGGGGGAGGGAGAAAGGCGCACATGGGCACGACGCTGATGAGCGTGAGGACGGCGGCCGCGATCGCGAGCGACGCGTACGTCAGCGACACGCTCGCGAGGCTCTCCGTCGTCGACGTGAGCGCGGCGCCGAGCCCGAGGCCAGCGACCGCGAACAGCAGGGCCACAGCTAGGCGAGGTCAGCAGAGCACACGTGCAGTACGCGGGCGACGCACAGAGGACGACGAGGCGGACAAGCGGGAGCGCGACCATCGTTGTGTTAGTCGTTGCTGGGGGGAGGGAGAGGAGGAAAGACGGCCACCGCCCAGCCCAGGAGCGCTCCTTTATACCTACAGCCGGCGCTGCCACTTAGCTGTATATTTGACAGCTGCCACGAACGCGGTGTCTGCCAGCCAGCCACCGCCCGCCTGATTACCGCCGAATCTGCCATCTCCCCTTCTGGTTCTTGTTCGTCGCCAACGCCCCGCGTTCTACCTCCATCCCCTTCCCTCCCTCCATCGCCCGCACCACCACCACCACCTCCGCCTGCACGACGAACGCAAAAAAGAGAGAGCGGGGCAGTAAGAGGGGCGCAACCGATCGTCCGTGCCTGTCGGCCAGCCGGGCGGGGCGAGGCCGCCACGAGGCGCCGGATTAGGCGCGGAACCAGCCCTTGTCCTTGGCACAGGGTTAATGAAAAACACGCAACCGGAAATAGGCGCGCATCGACATCGGCCCGGCCGCCGGACCCGGTGGCCGCGGCGCCTGCTACCGCCAGTCCCCGACTGTAGTCTGTAGTCTGTGCAGCCCACCGACCTCTGGCGAGGGCGAGGGCGAGGGCTCGTCGTCGTTTGTCCAGGCAGACGACGACGCGACGACGGAGGCGGTCCCTGTCGATCGCCGTCAAATACTAGGCTGTCGTGTCATGTCGCTGTCACTTTTAGCGCCAGCTCAATCAGCGCCAATCCCGTAAAGTTGTATCGCCGGAATTACAGCACGCGAGATCGTTATCACAGCCGGTTGTGCGGGCGGCGGGACTCGGACTGAGACTGGGACTGGGACGGGACCCACGGGATCGGTAGGTGTGGCTCTCACGGAAGTCCCATTTCCTGTCTTTCCATACATATATTATTATATGTGTATGATGAATGGAATCCTTTTTGTACGTCACAACTTGCATCTCCCAGAAGCAGAAAGATCACAAAATATGCTCCCACTCCATACTGAATACAAAAGAACATCTGCCGTTGATTACAGGACTGAGGTGCGCACACTCTTTGTCCAGGATGGCTCCCTTATATCCTTGCACCAAGCAAGAAGACAACATAAGCAGGATATCAATAGATCAGATAATTTTGCTGCACTCTGTACATAGATGCTAAAAATTGCTAGTCCTAGGCAGTATAAACCTAGATTATAGATTGCATTGAGAATTAAATCTACTCAAGATTGTGGTGATAATAAGAAAATTGAAATACAATTTATCAACACTATTGAATGTACATTTATGCTGGTACTTGAACTTTGTGACACCGCCTTGTGACACCGCCTACTTCTCAGCGATGTGGAAGCAAAACAAGACACAAGACACATCTGACATGAGTTCTGGCGTTCTATGGTCCGAACTTGTTGAGATGTAGAGGTGTCAATAAGTCAAAAATTATGTAGGTAAGTTATCAATTCAAAGTCCAGAAAACTTGACTAACTAAAAATACTACGTGAGCTTAAATACAATGTGATAAGAAGCAATGACGTGTCACTAGCTGTGCTGCAAAGTCAGTGCAGTCAAACCCTGGGTTTAAGAAACCTTTTTCTTCTAAAACCTTCTACACATACTAGCACAGTAGACATGTGGGATTAAGGCTAAGAGTAACAGCTGAAAATTAGTGCAACCTTGGCCATCCCAAAGTCCCTACCATCGAAAGTAGTTCCTAATCGTTCCTAAACCATATTTCCGCTACTTTAAGAAAGGTCTTTTTTGTATATACCTTTGACAGCAGATTGAAAGAACATCGTTCAAGAAAAAGGGAAGGTGTGCTTTCTGCTTGCATGAAAGGGATGGGGAAACATCATGTTTCTGACTTTTTTAAACCGTCTTTGTTCTTGTATGAAAGGGGAAACAAAAGATGCCCTTTGCCATGCAAAAAAATATGAAGATGTTGTTTTAATTGACATGAAAACATCTTCTTTATGGGAAAAATAAAATAATGTCCTTTCTGCTACAAAGAAACAGGCATACAAATTTGGATTGGAAAGATAAACTTGCAATAATCGACAATTTAGTTTTCTTTAGAAGATGTGAAATATGTTTAAAAAACAAACATTTATTTTAATTCAGATACATGATATTTGTGCTTTATGGAAAGAAGTAGAAGTATTGAAATGTTTACATTGAATTCACCTGTTAATGGGAAAAAAAAGTTTGAATTTTCCCCGTGCCTTATACATATCACCAAAGAAATTACAGTCCCTTTGCAAGCTCCCGCATGTGGCCAAAAACAGTCAGATGATCCACCTCACACATATGTGGCGAACCCGTGTGACAGGATTCTGCCATTGCCAACGAACGGCCTGGGCTTGGCTCCTTGCCGTGGACGATAGATATGGGAACGCTCGAAATGGGCCGGGTAGGGGCGGAGTCCGGGCCATGTCGTTTCTGAATATCCAAACTTATCACAGCGTCGTCGCCCGCCATCCGCCCATCGGCGTATTTCGAAGTGCACACCTCTCCACTATCCAAACCACGCATCAGCAGGGCCCCAGTGGCAATTGCAGCACAAATACACTCACCCGGCACCTCGCCCGCACTCCGGCGGCGCACCAGGTCGTCCGCGCGCTCCCAGAAGTCCATGCGGCCCGCGACGCCGTCGATCCAGTCCTGCTCCCACGGCCCGATGCCCGCGGGGTACACCACGAAGCGCGGGCTGCGTGCAAAGTCGCGAAGGGTGCGCAGCTCCGGTCCGGTAAGGCGCGAGCCGTAGTGGATCAGCACGTACATAGCGCCCTCCCGGGCCAGGAAGGCGCGCACCGCGTCCGCGCCGGCGGGCGTCTGGTGGAACGCGCCGGCGAAGCTGTGCGGCGCCGCGAGGTGCGTGAGCGCGGCGGCGGCGGCCCAGCGCGGGCGGTCGAGCGGCGCCCCCCAGAGCTCGAGGTGCGTGCGCCCGCGCAGCCCGGGGCGGGCGGGGAGGCCGGCCCGGACGCGCGCGTCGTCGAGCTCGCCCGCGAGTGCGTCGAGGCGGCAGCGCAGGCGGTGCAGCGTGCCCGGCGCGAGCAGGGACAGCGCCGCGGGCTCGCCGGCCAGGGCGGTCGCGCCCACCGTGAGCGTGCGCGCGCGGGTGCACGTGCCGAGGACGGTGCGGATGTCGGCGCGGGACACGTCATTCAGGAGGAGCACGTGCTGCACCGCGCCGTTGAGAAACGCCGCGCCGACGCGCGCGACGAGCGCCTGGAAGCGGGCCCGCGTGAGCATCGGGATCCACCGCGGGAGGTCCCGCACGCCCGCCCGGTCCGCGCACACGACCAGCGCCCGGTACAGCAGGGGCTCGAGCCTACCGCCGGTCAGGGGTACACCATAGGGCAGTGGGGGAACTATACCATTCTTTGGTGCGCCGGGCAACCCGCAGGAGGGTCGGCGTCATCTCGGGATGAAGCAGCGCCGCCGTAATGAACGCCTCCCGTTCCAAATCCAACGGCAGGCGCGGTGCGGGTGCCGACATGATGGGGTACGACGAGAGGCAAAACGTGTGACAGGCATCAGCTGCCATCCACGTGTGTGATGGTGAATCTGATCGATGGCGATAAGGATCGCACCGCTTGTCTTCTGCCACGTCGACTCCCGGAAGCTCTTGAGGATGCGTGAGGTGTGCGGTGCCCGAGTCCTGCGAGTTGGGCTTTGGTGCGTGCCTATTACTGACGCGCATGTTTGGTTGTTTATAACCCCGGATGCAGCTGGTGGCGGGATCATGTCTGGGGCCCTGGGCTGAGCGTGCTTGCGGAGCTGGAGTAGGGGCGTCCATCCCCCTTCCCGCGCTGGCGTCGTCGCACGTGCACAGGACAACCCCCGGCATCACCGACCGCGAATAACCGCCAGCAGCGTGCTGTGCCGCATATGCTGCTGTGCCGCATATGCGCATATGCGCCGGCGCGAAGATCGTCTCGGCAGACGCGTCGCGCATTCCGCGGGCTTCCCGTGCCAGTGGATCGCTTGCTGCAACCTCACGGCTTGCGGCTTGCACTGCGGTGGGATGTTCCACCGGCATCCGGTGATTCCGGCAACGCAGCCGCCCGTCGTACGCGCTCGTCTCGAATCCCCACAGCGGGGTCCTCACAAAGCTTTTAGGACGGACCGGCGGACGCTTGCCCCGCTCCGTAGCTATAGTGCAGCGTCGCAATTCAACCTGTCTATCATTCCATGGTGTAGACAACGTTCACGGCCCGCAAGTCTCCCAAGCACCGTCTCCTCCTCCATCCACAGCATCGAAACCCGCGGAACGAGATGGCGCTCGTGCCATCGCCTCGTCTACATCACAGTCGCAAGCGGACCCCGTCACTGGCAAAATGCCCTTGGATGTGGCTCGCGTGGGTCCATATCGCCCGCTCTCGAGAGGATTGTCGGTCCGTGCGCAGGTAGATGTGCGTGAAGATGTCTTTGCGAGGTATCCGCCGCTCTATCACCCGCGACAGTGACCAACACGAGATAGCAAAAACATATCTCGAGCAGATTGAATCATATCTCTGCGAGCCATCCGCCGCGCTATCACCGGCGACAGTGACCAACACGAGATAGCAAAAACATATCGCGAACAGATCGAATACGTCGTCGCGCGCGCCGACAAACAACAGGACTCCACTTTTGTTCGCGGTTGTCAGAGATAAGCCTGCGATAGGCTGGACGTCAGCGGCAGCGCCCGCTGTTGGTAGGTCGCAGGTATAAAACATTGTTTTCGACTCGCAGAAAACATTCGTTATTCGTTTTTCCCCCGCATCTCTTCGGAGTCGTACATCCCAGATGTCGCTCCCGCTCGTCCGCCTTGTTGTTCTCTGTAAGCGTGACACACCTGACTCGGAAATACTGTGTTCGCTGACTCTCCTCTGCAGGTGTCGCCCTGTTCTTTGCCATTGTCGCGCTCGGGCTTGGCGCAGCGGTGGAGAGTGCCACCGAGACGCTGGAGGACCTGTCCTTCGCCTACGCCTCGCTCGCCATCGCCGCAGCCGTGCTCACATTGCTCAGCGTCGGGCCCATGTACGGGAGTTATCCTTCTACCTCCCTCCTACTCACTCCCTATAGGGTAGCCCTCGAGCTCCTGCGCCCCGGCGGCCCCGCCTCGTGGCTCTGGGTCGAGATCTCCGTGCTGCTCGTGCTCTCTATTTTATGGCTCGCGACCGGCGGCGCGACGGCGAACGTGCTGCAGGTGCTCAACGAGTTCGGGTACTGCACCGCGGGCGTCACCGGCGCCGGCGGCGGCGCCGGCGAGAGCCTCTGTGGCGAGACGCAAGGCGTCGCGGCGATGGGCTTCCTCAGCTGGCTGCTCCGTGCGTGTCCCGTCCTTCGTGCCTGCGCTGGGAACTGAGCGGCGTAGTGATGGGCTATGCCGGTATGCTGCTGGTCGTTGGCATCCAGGCCGCGTCGCGCGGGCAGTCCGACGTCTGGACGACGTCCGTCGCGGACCTGGGGTACCTCCAGCCACCTGTGGCCAAGAAGCCGAACAGTGACCGGGTGTGAACGGGTCAAAAGCATGGAGGTGTCTCATGCACTTGTTGCCTGGTAGTCGTACTATGTAGAGTGCCAGTGAGGCTGGGGCCTATTCCATTGGCCGATCAATATTTATTTATGAGAATCTAGAATGTGCTGCCCAGTTCCATCTTTCCGTGATCCCAGAAGGCTCGTATTTTAGGTATGACATTGTATGTTTGTCCAGATTTCAAACAAAATAGAAATAGAAGCATGAACAGTAGCAATCAACTATTTATATATAAGTAGTTCTGGCAATGGGACAAGATTGTGTAGTTTTTGACCCAAAAATTCTTCGTTCAAGCTTGAGGACTCAGACCTGCTCCTCAAATTTTTTTATATTTTTGTGGGAAATTTAATAAAGTTAAATAAACACAATGCGCACTTGTTGCTCATAGTACTTATATCTTTTTCTCTCAGGAACATCTCAGTCTGAAACCGTGTGAAATCAGATTGTGCTGCGCCCTACCTTCAATCATATGCATTGGATACACTAAGTATAGCTCAGCCTGAGCATGTTACTATAAGTAATTTGAACCTGCCACGGCATATTCGGCGTTCTAGACGGGCTCCGACGGCTCGGCATGGAGCTCGGCACATGAAGATCATGTCAGACCGCGACGTCCTGAGAAGATTGGCGCCTTGTCAATGTGGATCCGGCGGTCTCGGACGGGTCCGTTCTGCGCGGGGTGGATTCCAGCAGACAGTGGAAGGTTCTGAATCTCGACGGATTGGAGGGATGTGTGTTGCGCTCATCGCAGGCAATCATAGTCACTGGCATGGTAACCACATATCGCCGGCGGGTGGTCGGCGCGGGCGTTGGTCCGACCCATGCATGCAACTCAACTACTGAGACGCGAGCTATTAGAAGTACGCCCGTGAAGTCTTTTTTAACTTATCGCGGACCACAGGCGGCGACCGAAATGGAGACTGATACCGCGACCGGCCCCCGGCTTCGTCGATGGCACGTACAACCTCAGATTTTTTTTTTTCATTTATGCTGCGCGAAAACCTACACGACACCTCATGCGCGTACAGTTTGACTTGCGTTCAAAGTTGCACCACTCCCATGGTCCACGCAGATCCCACATGGACGCATCATTGCATCAGGCGTGACTCACCGCGTGATGCTGTGCACCTACTCTTACCTCACACTCCCACCGCCCTCCTTCCTTCCCCTTCGCTCTGCCCCGATCACGCCGCCCTCTTTCTTCTCCCGTCCCCACAGGATGTATTCCTATAGGCGACGCGCGTCATACGATTGAACGCCGCGGACGACCATGACTTAAAAGCGGCACCGGCTCCGAAACCTCTGCAATCCATTTCCCATGCCTCTTCAGCAGCGCAGCGAAAAGCGCGAGCGCAGGCCGTGGACGATAGACGAAGACTTGTTGCTCCGGCAGGGCGTAGAAACAGGTGCGTTCTCTTTGCTCCCTCGTCCGCTCGTTGGTGAAGGCCCTGCAAGAAGAAGAGCCAGGGACGTCTGCCCCGTCCAAATGGAATGCCATTGCAGAGCACGTACCCGGGCGCACGAATAAGGACTGCCGCAAACGCTGGTACTCGAAGATGAACGCGGAGGTGTTGCGTGGAGGGTGGTCAGACGAGGAAGATGCGCGGCTGGTCGCCGCCATTGAAAAGTACGGGACAAGGTGCGTCGCGACATTATCGCGATTCTTGCGAATGACTGTTTTCCTTAGGTGGTCGTTGGTCGCCACTATGGTGCAGACGCGGAACAGCGACCGTGTGTCCCCACATGCAGTTCCAAGGACTCGCTGATATTCCGCCTAGAATGCGCAAAGCGGTGGACGGACACCCTCGATCCCACAATCGACCACGGTGCCTGGTCGAAGTCGCATGACAATCTCCTCCTTCAGGCCGTCAACACACAGGGGAAGCTATGGACGAAAATTGTGAAGAAGCACTTTCCAGGGAGGACAGGACTCGCAGCGAAAAACAGGCGCGTCAGTCTACTCCGGTGCTATGCAATCTTACGCTCAACAGATACAACGCCCTTCTCCGAGAGCCGACATCCTTCAAACGGCGGCCTCGACAGCGGCATCCTCGTTCGAGTCGCAGCAACTCCATCTCATCATGTGCCGAGTCTTCCGCCTCGTCGGTTGGAACTGGCAGCCCCGCTGCATTTGCCCCTCTCGAACTCGACGGATTCTTCGCTGAGGCTTTCGATCCCTCGCAATTCTTTCCTCCGCCCACTGCATGGCCAGGAAGCCCGGATGCCCACCTCGCGGGGGGACAACCCACAAGCAGCTATGCGGGCTCTGCATCCCATCACCTGCCCTCCGGCGAGTCCAGCCTGTCCTTCACTCCATCTTTTCCTCCAGAGCCTCACGACCTACATCTCTCCGACCCGATGCATGCGCTCTACGCCGCCGATTTTGCCACCGTACCCACACCCGCTTTGCTTCCCTCGGATTTCAATACACAGCTTCTCGCAACCCCCTCTGACGCCGAAGCGCTCGCCGCAAGAGGGAATCCTTCCCTCGACGTCGACCAACCCATATCGCATCCAGCGCCCGGCGTCGCTGGCTACGAATATCCGCCACCCGCGACAGGTGCAGTCTACCCCACATCGTGGGATGCTGGCGCGATGTGGTGGGGAACACATTCCTTTTCGCTGGCCTCATTAATGCTGACCTTGGGCGTTTGCTAACAGGGACGCGATGGTAGCCCTTCCGCCAGGCGGGTTCAGATGGCCGGAGCGGTTCGGCCACATCGAAGGAGAATGAATGCTATTAGTGGGTACTACCATATTTAACGTGCTTCTGCGACGACACTGAAACAAGAGATGTACATTTGGGAAGCAAATCGGCTGAACGTTCGTCTTGCGTCTTGGGATGGTATCAGCTTTAAACATAACCACTGATACGCGTACAATCCCGATTCACGAGTGCCTCAGTTCCTTCGCCCTGATGGCCTTCCGCCGTAACATGGCGGTGAGGTTATCCACGCCACGATATCGACGCCTGAGGTCCGCGCAAGACGCCACAGCGGCAAGAGGGCAGCGGCTCTGATCCATGTCGGGGTCGCGGCTCGGGACAAACGCGCCGGTGCTTCGCTATGGTGACGGTGAGCATATCTTTAGCGGGAAAGGGGGCACGCGAACGCACATCGTATCCGCACCAAGTCCCGTAGAGGCAGCTCAGCGCGTCCAAACCCCTCGTTGTGCGGCCGAGCGTCTCCCCCCCGGCCCGGTCGCGCGTGGGGCACATATACGGGCACCCGTAAGCTGCGGGCGCGTCGGCGATAGGGGCGAGCCCCACACACCCCACGCCGCTGCCGGTCAGCGGCGCGCCGTCCTGCAGCGAGAAGTAGCACGTGGACATTCCGGGGGTGCCGCTGATCTGCCCCATGCACATGAGAGTCCCGACGTGGGGGTCTGCGAGGGTGCCGGTGGGCGGCGACCAGTCCTCCAGAATGAGCATGAAGGAGGGCCCGGACGGGCAGCGGTAGGCGGGGAGGTAGTAGGACAGCGGGGTGGGCGAGGATTGCGGCGGGGCAGGCTCGGGGGCGATGGCAGAGTGGGTAAGGAGCGTGAGGACAAGAAGGACGGGAAACATCGTCGCCAGGCACGCGGGACGCGGATGCGCGCTAGGTATATTATGTTGGCCGCTAGGGGTGGGAAAGGGGCACGTACGGCGACGTTGACTGATATCACACGGGCACTAAGGAGCGAGTGTCAAATTTAGCCGTAATTCTTGTTCCCGTTTTAGCTGGATCCATTCGGAGATTTCGGACAATTAATCATAGCTATGTAGTGTTGCCGCGAGCTCGAGTCAACTCGTGCACGAGCCGAGCTGAGCTCGACTCGTTCTAAATAAGGCAGCTCGAGCCCAACTCGACTCGAAGCTCGTCTGATGACTCGTGATATGTCAATGATCCCGGGCCGACCTGTTTTCCGTTATAGTTTACACCAAATCCCTCATCTCCCTCCCAACTACTTGCTGCTTGCACCCTCAAAACATGTCGCAAGGTCAACCACATGGAGTCTATAGGGGCATTTAGCCGGTTTCCAGGCCCCGACTACGTTAGACGCGTGGAATCGCGCCCCTGAGGCAGTCTTCGGATAATATTTTGACGACCTTTTCTGCTGTCCGGCTTCTACTATCTATCTTACCGCCCTGCTCTCTCACTCATGAGCTCTCAACATAGTCCAAATCACATCCCACAACCAGTCTGGATAACTGATCCAGAGAAGATACGCTCTGTGCGTTCTTTTACATATTATTATCATTATCTATCATCTGCTGAACGCTCCCCAAACAGCTTTACACAACCCCCCTAGAAGACATATTCCCAGGTCTCCCACCTGTTGTTGCCTACCGCCCAGCATGCCCTGGTCGCTGGGGACGCCTTGTTCGACGAGTAGCCCGGCCAGATCAAGGAGATATAGCCACATCTGCTCCGCCTCCGATTTCGAACGCAAATCTACGCCATCGAACAAACAAAAGACTGTGTCGTCATCTTCGTGGTGGAAATGTTATCCCGCCCAAACCACAGCTTGCCCGGTGGAAGATGAGAATCCATGGAGTCGCAGCGGGGTCAAAGAATAAGGAGAATTGTAGATATGCTAGGAAGATGTTAGTACAATGAACTTGCAGATATTTTAGCGGCCAATCCTACTTTGCGTTGCATGTGCATCTTCCGGCATCGTACCCTTTGTGCCATTTGTCTCCATGCTGGATTTTCAAAAGAAAAAAAATGACAACCATGTTTCATGGCTGAACGCGACTGGTATAAAAAGCTAACCATAATCAGGAAATATCAGCTCAACTATGAATCCACCCCCCTGGAACTCTCCTCGCACTTCCTTCCCTTCATCTTCTCCAACAGCAGTCAATAATGCAAGCGTCAATTGCGTGAGCGAAGGCAATACTTTGAGATCATGGCATCATTGGAATCAAGGTCTGTTTGCTCATGACCACCATGCTCGCAATACTGAACAAACCTTTCTAGCCATCCCACCCACCTTTGCCAGCCCAAGTCCTCAGGCTCAGAATACGCCTACCATTCCTTTTCATCTGCAACTCCCTCCGATCGATCATCGGCCACCCTTAACTCCCATTTTCCATCCACCAATTACTCCGTTTTACACTCCACCACTTCCCACCATCCAGAGCCCTCTGGCTGAAAGCACCAATCTTGGAGCGGGACAGCATAGCTTCCAGGTGCAGGGCTATGGCTTTGCACCAAGTTCAAAACCAGCGTCGCGTGTATCTGGTGGAGAACGTCCCAAGAAGCGGCAGCGCACCACTGGTCCTCGCTCGAATGGACAAAATGTCCCTCCGGCATCGCAGGCTAATTCGGTGCTTGCTGCTGCCGGACCAAGTGCTCCAGCGCCACAAACTCTGCCCATTGGATTCACAACAGGCTTTGGGTCGCTGGTGGAGAAGGAACGTAGCCTCCATTCTGGGGCTGCAGCAACGCACATCTGGTACTTCGTTGATGGCGTCGATGGTGCAACAGCGCCTGCCTTTATACCACCAGTTGAACCGGAGCCCTCAATACACCCTCCCGACATCAAGCAATACTCACATCTGCGGTGTCGCTTATGGTATGTTAAGTTGTCGTGAACATCACAGTCATCTTATTATTCATTAGCTACCATGAGAATGTAAAACTCAACGTATGGCAAACATGGAAGAACGGCCACAATGGCATCACGGGCACGATCCGCCGACATTTGGAAGCCCACCATCAGGAGGAATGGCATCGCTCGGTCCTGAAGTACAAGCTGAAGGGGTGGGAGAGTCTTGCAGATTCATCAGCATTAGAGAAGACTCGCGAGCGTGAACCGTTTACCCTTGATGGTCTAACACTCCGTTTGTTGCGATGGATTGCGGTCGATGACCAGGTATGTTTTCTTGTTGTTGTGTCTTCATGGCTCATTATAAATAGTCGCTGCGTGTTGTTGACTGTCCTGAGTTTCGTGATTTGTTGCTCTACATTGGAGTGCAACTAGAAGAAGGTGACCTACCACATCGAACCAAGATTGCCCAAGAGTTGGAGACCTTGTTCAAGAAGGAGTATCAAGGCTTGATTGAAGAACTTGGTGTACGTTTCTTTTTGCGTCAACCTAATTAGTATTGATAGCAAGACCAGCGCGCGATTGGCCGTGTAGCATTTACCTCTGACATTTGGTCACGCCGAAATCTCGAGGCATTTATGGCGCTTACCGCGCACTGGCTCGCCTGGGAAAATGGCCATCTGGTCCTTCGCTCCGCGCTTGTCGCTTTTCGCTATTTCGATGGGTCCCACTCCGGCGCAAACATAGCTTACAAGATTCATGACATCTTGACTGACCTGAACTGTCGTCATCGTGTGTCCACGGTGACGCTGGACAATGCCTCCAACAACAATACCTGTATGGAGGGCCTCGAAAGTACACTCAAAGCACTCGGCATCCTGTTTGACCAAGACCAAAATCGGATCAGGTCTGTATCAAGTTTTTTGGTTGCAGAATGCTGACGCATGTAGATGTTTTCCACACGTCATTAATCTCGTTGTGACTGCATTCCTTCGCCATCTCACTATATTCTCCGCAGAAGATGCCGCTCGCGAAAAGACACTTGACTATTATCTCACCTCCCTGGAACTTGACGACGATCCTGCCTATCGTGACGCCTTGGCTAGCGATGTAATCAAGGCAGTGAAGGCGTGCGTCGCAGCTATTCGGGCATCTGGAGAAAGGAGAGCTGACTTTCAAGCCATCATTCGGGATGGTAATGTGAACTGTAATTTCATTCCATTTGCTGTCGATAGCACTCCTCGCACATATATCCTCCTTCGCCAAATCATTCTCCTCACCGATGTCGAGACACGTTGGTCATCGACGTTCCTGATGATCGACCGCTACCTCGAGCTCTTTCTTGCTATTCAACGCTTCCTCACGAAACATCATCTTGACCACCATCTTTCGCATCACCAACTCCACGTCCTTGAGGACATTCGCGAAATCCTTTCCTTTCCTCATGATATCCAACAACTCGCATCAGCTGAAAAGACACCGACACTGGCTCTAGTCATTCCACGTTACGAAGAGCTGCGCGAGACGCTGGCAGGCGGATTGAAAGTCAAGTTCCCAAAGCTGACTCACGCGCTTGATGCAGCTGTTGCTAAGCTCGACGAATACCTGGGCATCGCACGAACAACGAAAATTTATCAGCTTGCTATTGGTTTGTTAATATTTTCATTCAACTATATCTCTGTCATCTAATGAAGCTTCAGCAATCAACCCTACCCTCAAGTTCACGGCTATGGAATCTTTTAACTGGTCTCAAGATGATATTCAAACTGCCCGTGAAACTCTCCGCGCAGTGGTATGTTCTTTCTTGCTGTATTCCGCAACTTACACTCCATAGATGCTGTCATACAAACGTGCTGAGCGTGATCAAGGTGCTTCCGCAACACCTTCCAAGTCGACCAGCCATACCGAGTCAACCAGCCATATCGAACAGCGCTCTGCAAGTCGTGCACAAGTCAGTGGATTAGCACGCTGGCAGCGAAAACGGGCAACACTATCCCGTGACTCAAGCATGTCCTCGAGCGCCCGAGTCAATCCCAACGCCGCCAATCACAGTGTTGGATCCGGAGGAACAGGCAACCCTTGAGCTGAGGGCAGATGAGTTGGCTGTGGATGTGGAGATCAACCAGTGGGACGAGGCCGGGGCCCTTGAAGACGAAGACTTCAATCTTGTGGCTTACTGGGATATCAAGGTATGATATTAGC